ATATATATATATATATATATATATATATATATATATATATAAATATATATATATATATATATATATAAACAAACTTTTATATCGGTGAGTTATTTTGATGGAATGGCCAATGTCCGAAATTTAACTTTATTGCTAATATCGGCCGATACAGATACCATGCCAATAATATTGTGCATCCCTACTGTAAATCTTATGTCATTTATATTTCAACATGACAAGTTATGGTCACTATGTCCCACAATCCAGCAGTGAAATTCAATCTGCACTTTCAGTTTGTAGTATTTTTCTAAATATTGTGTGCAAGTCTAAAATTATTCAGTTTGAATAAATAAAACCAGACGCTGTCTAAAGTGTAGGAGAGTGCACGCACACAGGATTAAATGAAAGTGAAGGTTTCCGGGTCTCTGTGGTGTGACTCACCTCGGAGCTGACCATCAGTTCAGGGACACTGTGCACCATGGAGACTGTTGCTGTGGAGATGGGAACTTGCTGGTTCCCATTTGTCCCCTGGAGCCTGAGTTGGGAAATAAAAGCAGAGTGGGAGTCATTGTCTGCATCGCTCAAGTCCTTGAGCACGTTGTGCCCAAAGGATCCATCAGCACCTACAAATTCATGAGCACAACCAACAACAAAGTTCGGTTTGCGTTCTGAGCTCATCCTGACTCATTTTTAAAACATGCAGCCATCATTTGTCTACACTTTTGTCTTCTTGTGTAACGACTACATAAAACCTGCACGTTACTTTCAGAATAAAAATTGCAATCCCTTCCGTTTTATGTTTCCTGTACTTCCAGTTAGCAGCAGCACATCTGAAAACAGCTGAGAACAGTTTTCAGACTGTTCCAGGTGAGCTGCAGAAACTTTTACTACTCTAAGTCCAAAAATGAAGCCCTGCTTGGCACAACATGCAGGAGGAACTCGCTTATCCTGAAATCATTGGAGATGAACTGATGTGCACGGATTTGATCCAGTACTGGTATCAGACTCTGATACTGACATCACTCTTGGATCTGATACATAACTTTTAACTGTTCAAAGAAAATTAAAAAGTGGTGAAAGCATATGGCTCTGAGCCACAAACTGTAATTAGTTCAACCAACAAGCAGTCACAGTGTAGTCTCTAATTAAACTGAGTTGTGTGTGATTAACTGTGGGAGGAACCAGACGACGTAAAGGAAGCTCAAATCCAGCACCCGTTAGCTAAAAGACACCAACTGCAACAACACGTGGCTCACCATTTAAGCAATTCTTAAAAACAACAACAATGAATGCCATAACAACAAATCTGCCAGAAGTTGTTGGCAAACTGAACAAAGAGGGCATTAACCAACTCCAGATGTCCCTGATGGAGCTGGGCAGCTGCTCTGCAGAGGTGGGAGTATGTAGGGACTGGTCTGGAGAAGGCTGTGACCTCTTTAGAGCCCGTCCCAGATTGATGGGCAACAACAGTTGCTTCTCTAAAGTCATTGCTGATATCTTTCCCCCTTGGCATTGTGCCAACACAGGGCCACAAACTGCACCACCAAAAGTCCTGATTTTAAAGAGATGGTCGTAGCTGCTGACAATCAGTGAATCAGGAGCCCAAATCATTTTTATTGTCCTGATTGTATGGAATAAATAAAGTATAATAAATAAATAATATGTGAATGTTTCTGTTCAGTGCCCTGAGACAACTTTAATGTGAATTGGAACTAAATAAATAAACTGAATTGATACAGAGCAATTCCTCCTTACTAGTTCTAAGCACTTAGATAACAGTTACTGTTTGTGCTATATAAATAAATTTTACTTGACTAGACTAAAAATATAAAATATAAACCATATTTTCTACCGTACACGCCACATCAGTCCAAATATTTGTCTAATAAAGTGGAAAAATCCTTAAATGCGTTGCATCTATTATGCGTCACCGCTGACAACCTGGAAATGTGGACCGGTGTTGTGCCAAAAATCGATTGGCGGCCAAATGGCGACTGCGTGAGCGTTCACGGTAGGACTTTAACGAGAATTTAACAAGATTAACGCCTAAAAACAATTATTTGTCTGCTCGAAATTATAGTAAAGGTGTGTCTCAGTCTAACTTTTTCTTAATAAATGCACTTTGACAAGACAAATCAGCTGCATTTTCAAAAGATGATACGTGGAAACATGAACGCGCAGAGGGCGACTCACTGTCCATTTCTTCAAAATTTAAGAATAGAACCACCTAAAACAATTATTTGTTTGCTTGACTTTATAGTAAAAATGTGTTTCAGTCTAACTTACTTAATAAATGCACTTCAATGGTCAAAGTAGCTGCATTTAGCCGGGGCAGTGCAGCAAAATGAAGCTGACTACTGTACTTGTAAAAAATGTTGACATCTGCTTTCTGGACTCAGGTTTTTGCTCGCATGTGAGACATCAACTACAGACACTGAACAGGAGTGAATGAAGCCATGCCCCATGATGTGCACATGTTGTGATGGTTGTCTGAGCTCTGCAGACAGTTCCTTTCACCTCATGGTTTCACTTTTGCTCTGATTCTCCACCAAGTGGCCCTTCCAGAGAGCTGAGCTTTAATCTCTGATCTCTGGTGCCACCTGATGGCTGCACTTAACACACAATATTTTACAAACTCCCTGTCAGCGTTTGATATCAAGACTGGATCTTTGGTAAGAGGAGAACATTTGCTCAGATCTCTTCTCTGAATTTAACTATCTGTTACGAATTATGTAGAATCAGATAAGAGTAGCGTGACGTGAATGCATGTTGCGTCCTATCAAACCTAAAGAGGAGGGTGCAGGTGAGTCTGTGTCCTTACTGAGTCAAGTCCTGTCCACATTCAGCACACAAACCCTTCATGACGATGGGATGGCTGCATTCTTCAATTCTGACAATGACGCTCCTGAAAAAAAAAGACAAAAAAAGAAGAAAGTTTCTTAGTTAAACACCCTAAAAAAATCAAACTCAAAGTCCACAAACTACATTTTTACAGAGATGTCATTACATTTACAGCTTGTAAAGATTTTATTTATGTCTATTTCAGCACTTGAACCACACAGATGTGATGCAGCTGTATTTACGCGAACAAATTATATAATTATATAATATATATATATAATATATAATTATACCATTTCCATGACTTTAGTAAAAGTACACAAACTTTTTTTAGCTCCTATTAAAACATAATTTCATTAGTGATAACATACCAAAACCTTTATACGTCCTAAATAAAAAGGTATGCACTTTTCAAACTGTAGAGTTGTCTTCAAACATTTCAGTGTTGAGCATTATTTACCTCATAACTGGACGTAACAGCAAAGTAGAATATGTTTTTAAAGTTTGTTTACAGCACTTGAGCCTTATTTTTTTCTCTCAGCTGTGACAGTAAATCCATAAATTTTAATTGGAAGTGTAAATGTTAAATATCAAAAAGCCGGGTGAATAGTTACAGTTTTAACTGTCTAAATGCTAAATATTTACTGCACAAGTCTTATTCGAGAACTCGTTTTACGCAGGTTTTGCTTTGCGTCAAGTCAAACAGCAGCACGCTACAGGACGGGACTATCTTCAAAACAAAAGCATGAAGCGCTTCTTTTGAAAACTATTGCCGTACATTTAGAGAAGCGACGACTCTAGAACACGCACGACATTTTGTTTCGATTTGCTTCTAATCGTTTTTGACCGTAAAGCACAAACAACAGCGCCTGGCAACAATGTTTACCAACGCATGCTTTTATTTTGAAGAGCTAGTTGAAAACGGATGTTAGTTTGTTTTGACTGACTTGACGCTTGCTAATAAGCAGGCTAAAAAGTTAGCATCGTTAGCTTGTTTGCTAAGTGACATGGAACTGAATGTTGTACAAACTCAGCCTATAGTGCTTCCAAAATGGGGATATTTGAGTTTATATTAAATAGAGGAAACAGAGTGACGCACCCAGGAGAAATGATTTGTCCAACTTGACAGCCGAGCTCCTTCACCACTCCAGCACGGTCCGATTTCACCTTCCTCTCGGGCAACCTGACAGCCTCCGTCCTCTTCTCCTGAGCCATGGGGGCGCATAAAGCCAGCACGGAGTCCACGTTAACCAGAGACCCGGGCTTGACTTTCCACTCCAGAAGCCGGAGAGGAAGAGCCCCGATCGGAGAGCACATATCCGACACCTGCACGGCGGGGCCCTCCGCAGCAGCTGCACCACCACCATCAGCAGGAGTATCCTCCATCTGACCTGCAGCGACTCCCCAAAACCTTCAGCAGAGGTCCACCAGCGACGACTCCACCTCACCTCCTGATGTCCAGTGAGTGAAGAAAACACACGAACCACGTGTCTTAAGAAAATTAAAACCAATGTTCCGGTTATTTAAATAATGGGGATTCAGCCTCGTTCGCTCTTCCCGCCCGTAAACAGGAAAGTGCAACATCGCAGCTTCACAGGTCGCGAAGCATCCGGTGTTGTATCCAAAAGTGTACCCCCGCCGTCAAGAACATATTGCGCGATCATATTATTGATAAATTAAGTAAAAGTCAAAAGTGACCACCTGAGTCAGATTTTTCGAGTTTAAATTATCCACATTTTCTAAATATGGTCAGCATACTAGACTGCTCATAGACATTAATACGTATTAATGAGATTAATGAGAGTTCATAAACGCCCTGCTAGCCATAAAAGCCCATCAAAATAGCAACTGCAATTATCTCAGTTTTACGTTTACTGAAAAAAAACGAGTTAGTCAATTATGATTTGTACTCATTTACTTTGCGTGGTTTCTACGATGCTTTCTGCGGTAGGTGCACTTTTTTCGGCACAACACCAGTAGACAAGCGGCGAAGATGACCCGCCCACGTTTCCTACTCACCTTTCAAAATAAAAGCGCAAATAAAAATACAAGCGACATGCTTGTAGCGCTTTAAAAGCGTGGTTTCTGGCTGTCAAAAATAATTTGCATTTCCTTCTCTGCCATCTTCTCTCTTTCTCTTCATTTAAAGCATTGTAAACACGTTTGGGTGTCCACGGTGGGGGAAAAGTAAAAGTTTAAACTTCTAAGTGCACAGTAATTCCTGTTTTCCCCATGTTTCTGGAGCGCCCATGTTCTTGCATAAACAAACAAACAAACAAAAAACATTCCTCCCTTCTCATTTTCTGCTTTTATGCTCTACGTGATAGTGAGCACTTTGAATTGAAGCTGGGAAGCAAAAAAGGAAAGATAGTATTATAGCAAACATTATGAAAATGACGTTTTATTTTTAGACCTCTCACCAAAGAGTGGATTACTGAGAAGATGTTACCCTTCTTCTTCTTCTTCTTCTAGTATTGTTTTATGGCGGTTGGCAGACC